TTGACATAAAAAACATAGTAAAAAGGTGAATGAAATAGTTTCACGTTCTTACTTCAGGACCTGGGACAGCAGAGCTCTCCTGAATACAGATAAATGTGAGCACGACGGCCACTGCAACTGCAACACAGAATCTCTTCATGTTAGGATCGTATGACTGCTTTGAGTCAACTCGATTTCTTCAGATGTGTTGGTGAAAGTTGTCAGCTCTTTATAGTTCTTCTCCTGTCTGATGGTTTAGAGTAAATTGTGCTGGTATTTATACTCACTGAGGCCTTTGTTGCCTCATCACTGACAGCATAGCTGCATATACCGTATCTCTGTACTTGGAATGGAGGTGGGAATTTCCAAACATTGAGAATAGAAAAAATCACCATCTTTTTAAATCCATGCCCCAGTGTTTGCTCCTCAATATCAGATACATTATTGTTTTATTTTTGTTCTGGTTTTCTGTCATACAGAATTAGACTTTATCTGTACCTCTGTACTGAAACTATTATGTCAGTAAACAATGCTTGACATTTAGAAGCTAGTGTCTGCTTGTCGCTTTAACTAAACATTGTACCTATGATTGTAAAGATAACTAAATAAGACAATATCACAAATACATTTAATTTTACATCGGTCATCAATTTAAACACTAAAAACACAATGAACGGTCAGTGTAAAAACATCAGGTTGTGAATTATAAATAGATATAAAGAAAAAGATGAAACATTGGCATTTAATGATTATTTTTGGGCTCTATCACTATAACCTCAGTCCTAACAAATGTTGTGCAATAACTAAATTTCCCTTCTTCACTGATTAATTTACCCTAACCCTTGTTGAGTGCTTGGCTAATTTGGGATGTTTTTCTTGCTAAAAACAAGATCTGTGACAAACACATGTTTATGATACTTACTCGCATTGTTCAGCAATATAACCTCCCAACATTAACACTACCTTTATAATAGTTGAAGTGTAAATGCAATCGCCAGAAGTAAATACCTAATGTTAGGCTACAAACATCAAGGTCGCATGGTTGCATGTCACCATCTTGGTTGGCCTTTTGACGTTAAGTAGTCTCATTTAGTCACTTGTTAGCAATCAGCGTTTTTAAGACACATAGAAGCAGACATATACATTTAACAGTGGTGTGTTAATTGTAATAATTGTATGTTTTAAAGCAAAATGAAAGTGAACATCTCTTAACTTTGTGTTGAACACGTATTTTATGGGAGGCGTCTAACCAAAAACACATTGAAAAAACTGTTGTCTTTGAGAGGAGGGAACCAGAAGTGCTAAAATACTGACTCATTTGGGGGTTTTAGGACTTATTCCTGCACCACTCTGTTACGAACTTGGATACACAAGGGAAAAAAGGACTCAAATGCACGACCCGGGAGCCAGAGATAAAGTACAAGTAATATACTTTATTTGCCAAAAAGGATATTCAAAAAAGATAACGGCACTCTTAACGAGGCGAAAAAAATAGGTTTCACAAAGGCACAACAAAAAATCACTTACAATAAGTTTCAGGAGCATGAATAAGGCATGTAACAAAAAGAGCAACCATTGATGAGCAGAGTTCTGGCATGAGGACAGAACAAGACGAACTGACACTGAACACTGGGAGACTGGGGAATTTAAACACTCGACAACAAGACACAGGTGAAAACAATCAGGGGCGGGGCTGACGCTGATGAGCGCGGGAGAACACATTAGGAAAGGGAGTCAAGGAACCTGAAATGAGACGTGACAAAACAAAACGAGAAGTGAAAAACAATACAAAAATAACAACATGAAACATGACTGACTAACACTTTTGGCGGTGCACAACACACTCTATAACCACGCCCCAAAATACTTTAAGAAGCAATGGCTAATGCACAAAACTCAAACACTACTCACCAGCCAATGGTGCTACTTCATTCCTCAGTCATTAAATCAGCGACCAACTCTTGAGTTTACAGAGCTGGCCCCGATTTTTGCAGATAAGCAAAATATAGTGCATGAACAGTTGTTCTGTAGAGCTGCAATACGTTAATGACTAATATTTGTGAGCACCAGTAGGCTTCAACAAGCTGACTGCAGTCCACTTACATTATGCCCACTGGTGTCATTAACGTATTTTCTTTTAATAAGCTTTGATCTAGCTGTAATTATGTTATAGTTTTCATTTTTTTGTTTCCCCCCTAAATATGATTTATTTATACAAGTTAGATTTTATAATATAGTATAATATTATATAATAAAATATAATATTTTTTCTTATATGTAAAAATATGCTTTTTTGATTAAATTAACATGGCTAGTTTTTCGATTTAATTAGTCGTTTTACTATACCTCGTTTTATTTATAATGTATACAAAATGTAGTTAGCATTTAAAAAAATGTACATGGATGAATGCATCGTAGTCAACAAATAATCAGTAAACAAAAAAAGTATTTTCATGACGGTAACATTTATTGTTCATACACTTACAGTAAGTATATGCAGACATTTGGGAACAAATGTGGATGATCACATCAGATACATTTTAAATGAACAGCACGACCAAATCCATTCATCATCAACATTTTGTAAGCAATAAATACAATTGCTTTGAGAAAAGTTCTGTTCAAATGAATATTTAGTGGTTGTTGGAGTAGGAATCATCCTCTCCTCTTTTTGCAGGACAATCCGCAGACACCGCGGCGGCAGCGAAATCTACATTTAATGCCACGCTTCTCTCTGATGCTGGACGGCATCTGTGTGAGAGACAGAAACATGAGCAGTGAGTCCATCTGCAGCATCTTTACTCACTGTTTATTCTGTATTCTTCATTGGAGAGCAATAGGACACTTTGTTGGGACAACACTCTTTTTTTTTTTATTAATGTATTTTGCCAAATTCATTCAGTTAGCATGATATACCTTCCATGAGTCCTCTGATGGCTCCTCCTGGTCAGAAACCAGACTTTCAACGCTCATCGGCTCCTCCAGCTCCAGCACCTGTTGATGAATTGTGAAGATTTAGAGTAGGAAACACATTTTATCAGTTTGACATAAAAAACATAGTAAAAAGGTGAATGAAATAGTTTCACGTTCTTACTTCAGGACCTGGGACAGCAGAGCTCTCCTGAATACAGATACATGTGAGCACGACGGCCACTGCAACTGCAAACCAGAATGTCTTCATCTTAGGAGGGTTGGCTACTTTAAGATAACTAGATTTCTTCAGATCTGCTGGTGACTGTTGTCAGCTCTTCTTCTCCTGTCTGATGGTTAAGTGTACCATGTGCTGGTATTTATACTCACTGAGGCCTCTGTTGCCTCATCACCCCTCTGGGGTGGTGTTGAAATTCCTGAATGTTGAGAATGGGGAAATTCACCATTGTTATGCAGAAATGTCTTTTCCAAAATGTCAATCTGTCTTTATATTTTCTTTCTACCTGGTTTAGAAACAGCTTTGTATACGTGTTATGTTTACATGTTTAATTGCATATGCAATATAAAATTGGCAGCTGATTTTAAAAAGAAAAAAACTTTGGTTTTTGTGGCGGCTCAATCCCCAGTTACCTTTGAGTTGCCGAGAGGCTAAACTTGGCTATAAGCTGTGACGCGTTTTCGAAGAGAAAGTCCATAGTGAAGCAAGATAGTTTTTGGGATATTTAATAAACAAAATCATAACATAGTAACTATGGACAAAACGGTCAACAGAAAAAATGACAGCACAAGCTCACCCTCTGTCATGTGCACTCGACATCAAACAGGTGACTTATATAACCAAACCACACCCATGTGACAATTACCGGAAGTGCTCAACAAGCAAACATAGGTAAAAGAATAATAATAATACAAATAATGAACTTGAGCTAAGTAGTGTTATGGCACCTACAGTTTTGGTTGATGTAAAACATGTTTTATTTTTCCGGATTACGGTCACAGTTTTAAAACGTGGTTAATATTGTACAAACACCTTTATGATGTCTCAGTGTGAAGACATCAGCTTGTGAATGATACTTTCTCAATTACTGAAAACCCTGTTTACGTTGGACTACTACAAGGATTCAAATGCTATTCTGTATGACTTCACTCTACAATTTGATGCTTCAAAAGTTTAGTCCACAAACCAATGGGTGTGGGTGAATGTGTCCACCTATTTTATAAAGTCTATGCAGAATACACAAAAAACCTTCAGTTCAACCACATGTTATGACCTTGACATAAAATGTAACATTTGCGGTAAGGCAGAAATACAGTTATATCAAAAAGCCCATATATCTGTATTCAGACCCATTTGTAAAGACCTCAGTCGTTTCAAATATCCATTCCAATAATCCAAATCCCCTTTTTACTCTGTTTCATTATTTGATAACCCTGCTGGCCCATGTGCAAGCTTCAGCTGACCACAACATTATTGTCAACAAACCACAAATTGCTATAATGGCCCATATTCTATAAAAAGGGGAGCATTTTCCAAACTTTCAACCGCCATATAATCTAGTGCATTATGTCCAGTCAAGATGAACACATGTCATTTCAACACCATGTCCTAAAAATTGCATTCCGAAACACAAAACTGCATTCTTAATAAAGGTTGATGCAAAACTTTAATTTTTTCGGATTACGGTCACAGTTTTAAAACTTGGTTAACATTGTACATCACAATATACAACACAACTACTTGTTAAGGTTAATAATAATAACAATAATAATAATTAATAATTATACATTTTATTTATCAAGAGCTTTATCAAGTGCTCAAAGGCAACAAAACTACTTCCACAAAGTTTAATTAAAAAATTGTGTTGGTTAGACACCTGTGCTTAATGTATTTTAAGTTGCGTACAAGTTAAGAAATGGTGTCAATGATGTAACATGACAACACACTCATTCCAGTAATATTGGCATTGGAGGCCTTGATTTTCCACACTTACTTAATTTTGTCTTTGTGCTCATTGCTTAACCTTATTGCTTAAAGAGCATCTTGCAGGGTTTTTTTCTTTCTACATTTATGC